TCATGTGTTACCGATCAGAGGTGGCGTGTTGTGGCTAAGCCAGCTAAACGGCTTGCCTTGCTTTAAGGAACCCCCCTATAAGGAGAATTACTTCTCATTTTCAAGTAATGATTGAAATTGAATAGAATTCCAAATAAATCAATTTATTTATAATCACCAAAACAGGTAAAAGTGGTGATCAAAAAAAAAATATTAAATGCGACCATTCTCTCATCTTCTACCCACTCAAACGCTTCGTTTTAATTCGAGGTCGCGTTTGCCGTTATTATTTTCTTATTCTTTATCAAAAACATACCTTAATTTTGACAATTATTTGTCTTTACGCTTTTTTACCAATAAATCAAACATTATTTCCAATAATTCACTTAGCGAATCAATTGGAAAAACGAGAGTTTTTTCAAGTTTGTTGCAACAAACATTGGACAAGACGAATAATAACAATTATAGTTTATTAACTGCGCAAATTCGTATTCAACAAATTCATAGAACTCTTGTGACAATGCCGCCCCTTGCTAAAAGTAATAAATATGATCTCTTAGTTATTGGTGGTGGAAGTGGCGGGCTTGCCGCTGCGAGACGCGCCGGGTCTTATGGTGCTCGTGTCGCTATAATAGAATCAAGTGGAAGACTTGGCGGAACTTGTGTCAATGTTGGGTGTGTACCAAAAAAGGTTATGTTTAATACTGGTGGGTATTTCAAAAATAATTTTGAATACGTCGAGAAATGTATCTGCTAATATCAGAACACCATAATTTGTATATTTTTTTAGCATCAGTCGCGGAAGCTCTGCATGATGCACGTGAATATGGATTCGATCTTGGCACTGACGAGAAACCGAAGTTTGATTGGAATTTCTTGAAACAAAAACGAGATGCTTATATCAAACGTCTTAATGGCATTTATGTGAACAACCTTGCAAAAGACAACATCGAATATATTGAGGGAAAAGCTAGTTTCGCGAGTGAAAACAAATTGCGCGTTGAATACAATGGTCAAGTAGAGGAAATTGAAGCAGAAAAAATTCTAATTGCTACAGGTGAATTATAATTATAATTATAATTATATATCCATAATATTATTTTGTAAATCATTTAATTAACTTATGGTTTATTTCAGGTGGTCATCCACATATTCCCCATAATATTCCTGGTGCGGAATTGGGTATTGATAGTGATAAATTTTTTGATATTGAAGTACAACCCAAAAAAGCTATAGTGGTTGGTACAGGGTAAGTGTGTGAATAAATGGTATAAAGTTGATAGTTATTTTCTTGATAAAAATAATTTATTTTAGATATATTGGAGTTGAATTGGCTGGAATCTTCAATGGATTAGGTAATTTAATCACGTATCTTATAATAAATTATAACAAGAAAATAATCTTTTCTTTATTACAATTATAATTCAGGCACCGATACAACTCTTCTCTCACGTAGCGGTGAAATCCTGCGCACCTTTGATCCAATTATCAAAAATACTTTATTAGAAGAAACTAAAAGAGAAGGAGTTCGTTTACTTACACACGCAAAAGTTCACTCACTTCGTCGTGAATCCTCAAATAATCCATTAGTCGTAGAATTCTCTTCTGCTGAAACGGGTGAAAAGACTACCGAGGAATTTGATTTATTGTTATGGGCGATTGGACGTGATCCAAATACCCACGATCTGAATTTAGGAGTGACCAAAGTGAAGACTAATCCTAAAGGTTATATTGTGGTGGATGAATATCAGAAAACTGATTCTGATAATATTTACGCATTGGGAGATGTTAGCGGTGTTGCGCAATTAACTCCTGGTAAATATTTGCTTGCATATTATTTTTATATATTGTTCTGATGTTTATCGTTGTTGTTATTTCTATAGTCGCTATAGCAGCAGGTCGTCGTTTCTCTGATCGTCATTATGGCCCTCCACAATTCAAAAATTCTAAACTCGATTATTCAAATATTCCAACTGTTATATTTCATGTAAGTTAAAAATTTTGTAAAATTTACCATAAATAAATTATTTACAAACCATTATGTTATACAGGGTACATGTGGAACAGTCGGTCTAACTGAACCTGAAGCGAAAGCTAAATATGGTGAAGCTAATGTACGCACCTATACCTCAACATTTGTCAATATGTATAACGCAATGACATCTCACAGTACGTGATTTAATCGTTAGCTTTCCATCTTATTTTGTGATGAAAAGAAGAAATTTTCTAATTATTTATTTCATTTTTTTCTATAGAACCTAAAACCGCATATAAAATTGTGGTTACTGGATCTGAAGAGAAAGTTATTGGTGTACATTTGCTCGGCCGTGATTCAGCTGAAATTGTAAGTTGATTTGTAATTAATTAAAAATGTGTCAGATATTAATTTTTTATATTATATCAAAAATTTTAGTTGCAAGGATTTGCGGTAGCTTTGAAAATGGGGGCTACAAAAGCCGATTTTGATTCTACAGTTGCAATTCATCCTACAGCGGCCGAAGAATTAGTAAGTATTAATATACTCGAATCTAAACTTCAATATATTAATTCTGATATAACGGTTTTCTTTTTTTGAAAGGTAACAATGCGATAATTTATTGGTTTCGATCTCTTGCCATCAGCACAAGACAAAGATATATGACCTTCTATTGTTATTAACGTTTTTTATTGTATATTTGAGATTTTAAATTATTTGTTCTTATATTTTGTTCTTGTATATCAAGAATGTAAACCATTCATTCAATCGATTGACTATTTATTTAATCGATCAATATTTTTTATTTCGAATTTTTGGCACTAAAAGTTCCACATTTTGCACATTATTCAATGCTTCCAATTCACTCCTAATCATTCTTATTCTTTGTTGATTTTCTCCTTCCTCCTCGTCTTCTTTTAATATCCTTACTTCAACCACGTCTGTCAATTCCCCAACTCTTCCTAAATATTCCACACACTGGATATGAGATAGCTTATCAATAAACTCGTTGTTGTTATCATTGGTGGAATTGAGTGTTATCGCAAAGTAAAAGTATTTTTGGTAGTCACGAATTCGAGGTGATGCTGATGATGATGATGACATTTTTTAAGATTTAGGAGTTTTGTGTAAAAAGTTGATTTGTCAAACTAAATTTCAAATATAGTAGATTATAGAGATCATGCGAATGTAAGATGCTTTTCAGCCGATTAGGTATAATATACATAACTGTTGCTGATTGGCTGGGGAATATGATCGTTAGTCGGGTCGGGTCTGATCATTAACAGTTACAGTGACCTGCAAAAATAACGCACCACTTACATTGCTAATCGTTGATCACCTGATTTTCACTCACATGCAAAAATAATAGACAAATAACATCTAATATTGTGCTACAAATAGTAAATAAATAAATATTGGTAACAAAAGTAAAGACCAAGAAAAAATGGCAGATCATGTGATTCCGATCCTGATATCGATCATCCTCTTAAAATTATACACCAATTAAATCGCTTGTATCTTAAAATTTTACCTATGAAATTATTATTACACATTTTTCACTAATTAGGTAATTAACTAATAAACATGAACAAGGATTGAAAGAAATAATTAAACAAATATAAGAATAATATAGAAATAATATCTAAGTCCTATGCCAATTTCTACTGAAATTATTATAATTTGAAAGGAAAAAGGAATAAGGTAATAGTATTTCAATTAAGTATAGTGTTCTGAATAACTGAATTAACTAATTAATTTACAAATTATTTAATTGAAGTGACTAACATATTTAACTAACTAATTAAAATATCAAAAATAATAAAAGTAACGAAAACTCTTTCATTTTGTTCTTCTCACAAGAAAGAGATTACAATGTCTTTAGTTGAGAAATTCCAAATAATTCAATTATCACAAAAATATCAAAAGACTAATTTATAACAAAATATCAATTTAATAATCCAATATCAACGTTTTGATCAGCTCAATACAGTCTCAAAATTACTTGTTTACAAGATTTGAAGTATATTTTTGAGAGGGAAATGCGAATTGTTTAAGTATTAAAAGGTATTTGTTTTATTATGTTATTTATTCTCAAGTTTCAACAAGTTGAGTTAGAGCTCAACTACAATTTATATTTATACATTTTCTTCGAAATACAAATATAATATTAAAAACAAGAAAAAAATATAAAAGATAATTATACTAATTAAAAATAGAATTTCAATTTATTAAATATAGAAAGTAGAAAAATAAAGAAGAAAAAATATAAATCTCAAAGAATTTTGATTGGTTAAATTATATTTACTCAAAATAAATAAGTATAAAAGTATAAAAAATATAAAAATTATAAATATATAAAAGTATAAAAAGTATAAGAATAAAAAAATAGAAAAAGTATAAAAGTATAAAAAATATAAGAGTACAAAGTAGAAAAAATATAGAAATACAAGATAGAAAAAGTATAAAAAGTATAGGAATACGAAGTAGAAAAATAAAAGTATATGAATACTATAATTAATAATATATAAGAAAATTGTGAAATATTCCAAGTTCTTTACATAATTTTTATAATTTCGTGAAATATTACAAATTATAAAATTAACATTTTATAACATAATATTATCTTTTGTGCTTTAATAAAAAATATTTTTTGTGAAAATTATTATTGTTATGATTTAATATTTTTTATAATTAATTTTATATCTCTATATTAATATTGTTATTATTAGTAATTTTTACAGATAAATATTTTTACTATATAGGAGGTAATTATTATGTTCATATAAAAATTTAAACTACTAAACTATTAAAACTTATAATTTAATTATTAAATAAATAAATAATAATGTTACTATTTCAATTGGTTTATTATCTTTTAAATATTGTTACTGTTTCTGTTGATTTATTAACTTTCAAGTATAGATCACGTATTTTTTACATGTTTCAATTAAATGGAAGAGTTATTAAAGATTTTTGTATATTTAAAGTAATTAAAATTGGGAGAGACTAATTTAATAAAGATAGGTAATGACGTGTTCATTTTGTTGAACTGCTAGAATAAGTTCAGAAATCTTCTTTTAATTCAAATAATTTAATTGTTAAGTAATCTTCTTTTA